CACCCGCACCTCGCTCAGCCAGTGAGCGGGAACTGGTCTGTATGTGGGATCCGAACCGTCGGTGGGAGCGCCGCCGGGCTCCCAAGCGGCGCACTGTAGCAGTGCGCCACCGGGCCGGCCCCATGACACCATTTTTAATAGGGATGTGAGATTATTTTAAATGTACCCTTAATATAAAAAGAATACTGTTCACTTGGGATTTTGTTTATAGTTAAATTACTTTTAATTTTATTGCTTGCCTCACTTTCCACAGGTAGGGAACAATGGGTTTACACATATATGAGGGGTCTTCAAAAAGTTCATGGAAAGATTTGCTTTATCTTTTAATTCTAATTTTACATGAACTTTTTGAAGTACCCTTGTGTATGTGTGTCTTAAATTTGAATACACTTGGCTTTGGCTTTCCTTAATTCAGCCTGCTATGCATTGCCCTTCAGTCTGGCAGACCATCTGGACAAGGCCTATTATGGTTCTGCTTTTTTTTTTTTTTTTGAAGTCAGCAACCAATGTTAGCCTTTTCTGTGATCTTTTAACAATGCTACTTGACATAAAGTGACAGCTTTCAGATTGATTTTGGAAAAATGATCTTTTCCACAATTAGATTGAAGAATTTAAACACTTTGGGAAAAAGTAATATCCAACTAGTAAACCATCATCTAAGATTAAACACAAGGGGTCTTCAAAAAGTTCATGGAAAGATTAGTATTATCTTTAAATTCCATTTTTCCACAGACTTTTTAAAGTACCCTCACATTGTTTGTTCTATATATGCCTACATTAGAAAGTCATGGTTATCTGTTATTTGGATCACCTGAAGAATCCTTCTATAGTGACTTCTGTATCCTAATGCTAAATATTTTCTTGTGGGTTTAAGGTGATGGAAATATAATAACTCTCTTTTTAGTGATGACAACAAAGAGGCTACTAGGTGAATAATCTTCAAATCTTTTTTCTCTTGGAATGTAATATAGCTTGTGGCCACAATTTTTACCTTTAAATTCTTAGTAGCAGTGCAGCTTACTGTGTTTTGTTGACAAACTAAACTAGAAGATGACTTTAAAGTAGAAAGCACTGATTACTGTGTATCATGCTCTCAGTGGTGCCATGGAAAAGTGAGAAAGAGTAGTAGGTTCTTGGTAGTAGTTTTAATAACATGAAATACATGTTTCAAAATACGTATTATAGCAAATTTGCCTTTCTTGATCATGAGGTCTTTTGGATGTTAACATTATTGTGCGTATCTCAGTTATGTTATACTTCCATTTTGTGGGATTACTTCAATTGAGATTAGAGCTAAAAATTGACTGTACTTCAGGGGTGAACATAACTACTTTGGGTCTCAATATAGTCATTTGGTTTTTATTTCATTTATTTCAAATTTCAAATGAGATTCTGAGGGTAACTTTCAGCCCTGTATTGGATTTATATTTCTATACATTAGCCAGGAAGTCTGCTTTCTTGTGCTCCAAGGATTATTTATCTAAGATCATGTCAATTAAAAGCATCAGGATTGATCAGAAGGATTTCAGTGACAGCAGAGCTTTTCATAATGAAATAATACAAAGAAATAGTACTTGCTTTATATTCTTCTATGGACCTCTTTTCCAGTTGTGGAGCACCGAGGGGTACCATCACTATAAAATAAAAGTATTGTTTTTTATGTTTGTGAAGATGTGGTTTTAAAAGATGTAATTGACATTAAACATGGTATTTAAGTCCTAATTTTGACCTAACAAAATTTACTTCATGCTTCATATTTTGAAGGGAGTTATTAACATAATGTTGTTTTTACACTGCTTTCTTCCAAAAGTGATCACGTGGCTAAGTTACTAGGAGCAACAGTACCAAAAGACAGTTTGAGATAGAATATGAGGCTTTCCAAATTAAATATTAAAAATGTTTTCTCTCTCTGAATAGTTTGTAACGTTATTCTTAATACATTAGATATTTTGTGTCACAGAATCCAGATCTAGAAATTATTTAAAAAATGTATCAGTACACAAGAAAATAAGTACATAAAACTAGAAAAACTGAAGTGAATTACATTGACAACCATAATCTAATCTAAAAATAATTTGTTACTAAGAAATTGAAACTGACTTTTTTTACATGAATTTTTTTCATTTGGTTGCTGTGCTCAGATTTTATTTTTCTGTGTTTGTATGCTTTAACAAATTGGTTAAAAACAGCAAGCCCTTAATCAACTAGGGTGTTCTTTTTTCCTTATTTTCTCAGGAGTCAGTGGATCGGTGGGGGAAGTGCTGCTTGTCGTGGGCCCTGGGCTGTAGAAAGAAGATACCAAAGGCAAAGTACATGTATCTGGCGCAGGAGCTCTTGGTTGATCCAGAATGGCCACCAAAACCTCAGACAACAACAGAAGCTAAAACTTTAGTTAAGGAGAATGGATCATGTCAGATTATCACCATAACATAGTAATGAATCAGTCTCAGTTGTATGCTAGTAGCAGTATGTAGGAGAATGTGATTTTAGGATTTTCTGATCCTGTGTGTCAGAATGGCACTATTCAGTTTATGTCCCTTCTGATATAATAGCTGATTTGAGAGCTTTACTTTTTAAAAATCAAAACAGAAAAAGGTATTGGCCTAACAGTTAAATTAACAATCAATCTGTAAAGTCCTGTATCTTGATTTAGTAATCTAAATATTATATACATTTCCAGAATTTACTTGTTACCCTCAATGATATTCTTTATATTGGGTACAGGAGAAATTTGGTGTTTGGTAGATTTTTAGACATTAACTTTTGAGACGTTACCCCTTTAAATTTATTTTCATAACCTCCTTACTAGAAAAAGTCTGTATGTTTATATAGAGGCGCTAAATTTGTGATTGGTTAAAAATAAAATGGGTATCAATTAGCCTTTAGTGAAAACATCTTGAAAGCCTCCTTTCATTGGATTCCAATATTTATTCTGAATAATCTATATAAACATACACCGGTTCCCTTTGATAGCCTGGAGTTAGGAGTGAGTTTGTCTGAAGTTGTTTATAGCACAACTCAGGTAATTTCCATTTATGGTTTTTATATTTTCTGTACAAACTGCCTGGGTTTTATTTTTCTAATCAGTAAGGTGCTTCACTGCTCTCTTGAGATGTCCCTCAAAGCTATTAAATGGATCTTGTGCTATGTCTGGTGTCAGTAGTCTAATTTGCTTCAGTTAAATGTTGTAGAACCTTTTTCACTAGGAAAAAAGATGATTTCCTTTGGCAGTAGACGTAGATCTATCTTTCAAACATCTCTTCATACCTCCCCCCCCCCCCCAGGCTTTATATTGTCTTTTTATTTTTTTCTTCTATGTTTTTAATCACTAAAGACATAGGATAACAGTGAGTTATATTTTTTAAGTTAGAATTTTACCTTGTAAGATTATTAAGGTTTGGTGTATGTCTCTCCTATCAATAATGAGGCTTAGAAAAAATAGTGAGTATTGGATTTGAATGACTGCTGTTTTTCCAAAGCAATTTGAACTTGGTGAGAATTTGCTTTATGCCATTAGGTGGCGCCGAAGGTCAGAGCATACCTATTTTGGATTGGATAGTTAACAAATGAACATATTTGTGAAAATTTCTGTGAGGAAATAAAGTTAAAGAATAGACATTCATCGAGCCAAAAGAAACGTGGAAAATATTTTTTACCTTTCTGTTTTTCCTGATTAATGTTTAAATTCTAAACAAAATTAAAGTTACTTTAAAAATGCCATTGTAGGTAGGATTCAGCAGTTTGGCAATGCCCAGTTGTCATAAATTCAGGAAAGTGATATTGCTGTGAAATGGACACTGAACCATTAAAACAATGTGACATTATCCTGTGTTCTTCCTTAACCAGTGCTTGTGCTTTCCACTTCTAGCTGATCACTATTTTCCCGATATATATTTAACAATTTACCAAATGTTACCCAGAATTGTAGAACCAAATGGTTCTCGTTATGCTGCAAAGGCCTGAATGATGTTTAGTAACTGTAGAAAAATGTCAGTTACACTCAGGATCACTGTTATTGCTATTGCCACTGATAATTCTTACACAAATATAATCAAAGTTTTCCATCAAAATGTATAATACAATATTAATACACATTTGATGATAAGAACAATTATTCCATGAATAATTCTATGAAGCTATGCATCTTAGACCTCTTGAGCTGTGAATTAGCACTGTTTTCTATAAGTTACTTATTCTCTTGATTGTTTTATAGTTTCCATATTTGTTTTAAATAGGCTCAAGTGTTATTCTTTAGTGATTTCCAGAACTGTAAATTTTATTCCTTGGTTTAAATACTGAACCATATAATTAATTTATAATTGCTAAGTAGCAGCTTAAAAATTCAATTATCAGATTGTCTTTAACATCTTTAAGAGCATGATCATAAAGAGCTATTTTTGACACCCTCCTTTAAAAAATCATTTAGAGTTAATAAGGTTTTTATATCTCATCTGTCCATATTGTTTTCAAAGGAATGAAGTTTATGGGTAGTTGGAAAAGCATTTATAGAAAGTTAGATTTGAACATAGACAAGGTGGGTTATTCAAGTTAACAATGTTATTTGAAGAATGTCTATGAATCCAGATATGGATCGTACTCAGTGCCATTGATAGGCTGAGTCCTCTCTCTGTAGGTCACCATTACATAGTAATTTTGTTTTGAATTTCACATTAAATTATTTGAGTGTATACAGGCCTAAATTTTAAAATCTGTACATATATTATTTTGATGTATTAAGATTAATAAATATCACTGATTTAAATTTTATTTATGCACATACTTAAAGGACAGAAATGTTTGGGAAAGTAATTGTTTAATAATGATATGTAACTTTTTAACTTTTTAAATAAATAACAAGATTTTTAATGTGTGTCTCCCTCAGGGTTGTTTAAAGTTTTTTTTTCTTCCCCAAATATAAATAGTGGTAACTATATGTTTTATATCTTTTAGCACCAACTGCTGTAAAGCAATGCTGCAAATAATGCTTGAATAAAAGTGGCTAAGCCAACAACAAAATAAATACTTTTTATAGTAGTTTTATAATCCTTAAATTTGAAAGCTTTCCAAATTGCACTTGCATTTAAACAAAACTGTTGCAGTTTTTATTCTATTTATTTTGTTTCCCAGGTTTATGAAGGTACTGCACAGTTTTAAAGGCATGGTGAATAATATATCAATGTTTATGTAGTCTGTTCCCAAAACAGCTATAGATAACAATAGCCAGCAAAGAGCAAAATTAAAGCTTTAGAAGACATTCTGTTATTTCATGCATGCAATTTTGACATAACTAAAAATAGTTTTTTGTATATTTATGGTGGGAGGTGGTTGGGAACTTCTAATAAAGTGGGGTGTTGGGTTTTGTACAGTCTCTGGGCATTTACACATATTTTTTAATGTATTAAAATTTGGCAATTATGTGCACATTAAATTAATAAAATAGTTACTTCCTGTTATGATTTGTGAATTCCCTATGACCTTGGATTTTTTTAAAGTAACTTTATATCAGAAATGATACTGCATCTTTATATTTTTAAAATTGTATTGCTGCTCAAGAATGGTACCCTGTTGTCAAAAGGCATACATTCATAATTGTACATTCAGCATTGTAAATAACCTTATGAAGTCTTTTTTGATTGAAACTATTCAAAATAAAAGTGTAAATGAATGTAGTGACATTTTTTCTTATTTTCCCTGACTTTATATATTTTAGTTATGCGAATACTACTGTCTCTGGATTTATTTTCCTGCTTAATACTTCCCTCCGTTTCCTTTTTTGTTTTATTTCCCTCCCCAAACTTTGGATTTTTTTTTAAGCAAGTATAACATTCCATATATCACATGTCTGTGACTATCCTGGGGAAACCCACCAGGCAGATAAAATGTAGAGCAAAATGGTCAGTGTCAAAAGGTTTGAGGGAAATAGTGAAATATAAGACTAGGGACTTATAATCTATTAATAGTTGGGAGGATCAAACCAAAAGCTAATGCCATGTAAGATGTGGTAATTTTGAAGTGAAATGGCATCCATGGGTGCAAAAAGAGCACTGTGAGGAGAGACAGGGAGAGAGAAACTGGAGCTAACTAATGGCCATAGAAATCCTTGAGAAGGCAGGATTTGTGTTGGGCCTTTGTGCTTGGGTGGGAAGTGTTTCCAGGTATCCCAGGTTGTTCTCCAGGAGGCATGCAGCCTCTGCTATGGGCTATGTGGCTGGCTTCAGTTTGATGGATTGGGTGGGTGAAGGCCTCATTTGAACCCAAGTTCTTTCCAAGCACTATTACGGTTTGTACATCATATGATCATTATCACCACAGTCTGCTGGTATGGGCACAGTTTTGCATTTCAGTCCTTCTCCCTACATCACTGCAAAGTGCTTTATTCTGAGTGTATATTGCAGGGAAAGATGTAGTGAGTCCTAGGAACTTGAATGAGTCTATCCCTGGGCAAAGTTGAGCTTGTGGTGTGTCTGGCCTCTGAGTTTTCCCCCACGGAGGAAAAAAGAGCATATCTCATCCAGGCAGATACATACTTTTGCATGGCCAAACCCTTTAGGCCAGGGCTCTGACTTACACAACAGCTGCCACTTAGGACAGCAGATTGACCTGTTATATGAATCCAAAATCTAAATGTCTTGAAACACTAGAGCCCTCAACTTCGTTCCTTAAAATAGTTCTTATTACCCTGTCAACTTGCTCAATGGGTGGGCTAAGGGTGTTCCCCACTGCCTGTGACCTCCATACTCACTTTTTTCTTTCTGGGCAATCAGAATGTCTTGCTCTCTTCAAAGGACAAAACTTGGAAGCCATTCTGACTGCAGGTCTTGGGGAAAAAGGCTAAAGAAGCTTTACCAGAATTTGACTCGAAGTCTTACTCTGTTTCACAGCACACCTTCCCAGTCTATCATGTTGGCTCTCTGACTGGCATTTTCATGGGCAAAGGGCCTTTCATTTGGTGTGCCTATGCATGACTGACTCACTGGGTTACCAGGGTAGCTGTTCTGGGATCTCAGATGCTTCCCTTGATCAGAACTAAAAGACCTTCTACAATACCTGGCAGAGGGAGTGGCTCTTCCCTGTGTTTTAGGACTGAATGACTTAGAAGATAATTTGTCGGTTTAGCATTTACTGCGCTCTGACTGCATTTGGCTATATCAAAGGCTGATTGGGTTCCAGTGCTGCTTCTGCAACACCTGCAAATGTCATGGATTGGGGGACTTCTCTTCCATCCTAGATAAAATAATTTAGGAACCACTTTGTAAAACTTTTTATTTATGTTTTTCTTAGTAGGTAAACTAACCGAAAGGAACCTTTTCTGCTACGCCACTCTGCTCTATAATTCCAGAGTTAAATGTTTATTCCTTTGTAATTCAAGCACTGGCCTTCACTTTGTTTTCATGTTAAGAAATTTTTTATGCTTGGCTACCTTGCTTTTTGTGTTAAAATTTTAAAAATTAGTGATATAAGCACATTTTTAAAAAAACTCAGCCTCAGAAAGGTATACAAGGAAGTTTACCTATTCCCTGGTTTCTCTCTGAAAAGGTGAGTACTGAAGTTTCTTGGTTCTATCATTCCAGGAGAAAAAAATAGTATATATCCTTATCTATATCTTTAAAAATTCTACACAAGTAGGGTACCATTTTATATGCCTTTGTTTTGTCATTCAATATATCAGAAAGTTATGTCAGCACTTGCAGCTCAACTTTATTCTTTTTAAAGTCTGCAAGACATCCCATTGCATTGAAGTACCATAATTTAAACAACTAGTTCCCTATTGATGGCCTTAGGTTTTCATCTTTTTCTATTACAAACAATCCTGCAATAAATATTTTTGTGCTCATATCTTAATGACCATATTCATAGGATATGTTTTTAGCAGTGGAACTGCTGGACAAAGGATATGTGTATTTTAAATTTGGTAGATACTAACAAAATTTTCCTCCAAAACTTTGCACCAGTTTATATTTCTGCCAGTGTAGTATGAGAATGTCTATTTCTTAATATTTCATAAAACTGGAGTTTTTAGGCATTAAACATTAAAAGGTTATCTCGGTGGGGTGTTGGTGCGGGGATTATCAAAAAAAGAGCCCAGAAAGTAAACCACACATCCATGAGATGTTGATTTATGGTGGCGCTAACATTGCACCTCTGGAACAAGAAAGGATTTATTTGTGTACGTATCCATGGCTAGGAAGGACAGCTCCTCCTAATGAAAAAAAATCATAATAATTCTAACTCACATCATACACAAAAATCAATTCTAGGTAGATTAAAGACCTAAATGCTAAGGACAATACTATAAAACTTAAGGCAGTATAGGGGAATATTTTTCTGACTTGAGAAGAGGATTAATTATAATAGACACAAAAACCACAAATCATGAAAGAACAGATTGATAATATCGCCTATATTAAGACATAAAAAGACACCATAAAAAAAGTAAAAAGACAAACTATAAACTAGTTGAAGATATTTGTAACATAACTGACAAAGGGTTAATATCCAGAATATATAAAGAATGCCTACAACACAGTTAAAAAAGACATAGACATACATGTTTTGCATATAGAAAAACGGGCAAAAAACAAAACACCCACATTTCTCAGAAGACGAAGCACAAGTGGCCCTTAATATATGGAAAGGTGCTCAGGTTCATTATTTTTTTCCCTCCCGCTCACCCTCCAGGGGGAGATCAGGCCCCCACTCAAGCGGTGGTTCCCACTCCCCGCAAAGTGTTTTCATGGAGACCGCACACCGGGCGCCTGTTACACAGCGGGCGCTTCTATGAGTCCCTCCCCAGATCTTTCTGGCCCCCTCCCAGAGATCCCACACGTGGAGGACTCCCCTGGAGACCATCAGAGACACCACCACATCCCCTCCCGTGACCCCCAGGTTCGCACCCAGTACGACTCCGTGCTTATGGAGAAACGTGCCAACGAAACCCACCTGCACACACGCTCTCGAAGGTGACCGTCCTCCAGGCATCTGCAGAACCCTCACCTCCAAACCGCCCCAGGGTGACCTTGAGACACCCCTCCTCTCCCGCCCTTGCAGGATAAAGAGGAGCAAGGGAGGGCTCAACAAACTCCCGGCAGGAGAGAATGCCCGCTCCTCACGCCGCCCCCGCAAACCTTCCCACACCTGCCACTCGGGACCCTGGGCCAAGACGATCTCCCAGGACCGGATCCGGATCCCAGCTCAGGAAGTCCGTTAAAAGCTTCAACGAATCCAATGAGTCCTTTCCCCAGCCCTAATCCCCTCTGAGTAGAGGGAGGCTGCCATTATTTACATTGCCCAGAAGGGAAACTGAGGTTGTGCAACAACAATCCGAGGGGCCGGGGCTGGAACCCAGATTCCGAGCTCTTCCAGAACCTCGCCAGACAGAAACTCAAACTCGTTATTAAACAGGGAAATGAAACATTAAACCATGCTAAGATGATTATTTCATATCAATGGCAAAAATTAAATTAAAAAATCAGTATCAAGTATGGGCAGAGATATGAAGCACAGGGACTCTCGTGCATGGTAGGTGGCATTGTATATCGGTACAACCCACCTTGGAAATCAGTTTGACATACCCAAGTTAAATTGAACATGTGAACCCAGTAACGCCATTCTTGAACATGTTATGGAGAAACGTATCTATGAAACTCGTCTCCACACACGCACGTTCAAGAATGTTTTTAGCCTCATTATTCCTAAAAAGAAAAAAAAAAAATGAGTGGAGCATTTGAGAATGTTCTTGGCCTTATTCCTAAAAGGAGAAGCGGGGAAAAAAACCCAAAAACTGGAGCAGAGAATTGGGGCCATGCTCCACAGAAAGGAAGACCCATCTAGGGGTGTCACTGCTGCAGTGACCCAGCTGTGTCACTAATGACTCCAGCATCACAGTTATATTGTGCCATTTATGGAAAAACTTCTCTCCCTCCTGCTCTTATCAGTCAGCTTTGACAGTAGGACTCAGGTTATATATAGTCTCTCTTTCAGTTTGAAGAGATCTGTCATTAGAAACCAGAATATGCTCTCTGAGATAAGGTCCTTTCCCTGACTTTTATTCTGGCAAAGTCATTATCCTCAGGATGCAAAGATCGCTACCTCTTCCTCTGGAAAGTGCTGACCCACATGCAAAGCTCTAAGCCTCTCAGTTGCTTTGGGGTGCAGAACCATTTCAGGTAAGGCCAAATATTTTATAAATTAGTACAGGAAATTAGAGGGCTGAGTTAGTCTGTGTGTGCATAAGAACTAATTTTTTAAAATTTTAAATGGACACATTGTAGTTGTAAGAAGTAAAATTTGGTACAAAAACAATTTGTGTAAAATTTCACTTGGGAAACATTGTTTTGGCAGATTAGTATTGTGTGTGTTTCTCAGGTAATTCAATGCCAGGAGTATTAATTTTTATTAAACATCTTAGAACAGTAGCTCTTTATTTACGGTGAAGTCACAAATACCACCCTCAAGTTCTAACTGTATGATTTTAGTTAAGTTACTTAACCTCTCTACCTCAGTGTCTTCATTCTTGAATTGAGGATAACAATAGTACCTACCTCACATGGTTATTGTAAGGATTAAATGAATATAATATAAATAAGTAAAGTGCTGAGAACAATGCATGGCATAAAGGATAGGTTTCTTATTATCTGCTTTTTTTTTTTTTAGCTTAACTGTTGGCTAAGGGTGCTCACTGTTGTGGGTGTACTGGGGAAATAGCACGATTGTGATCAAAAGAATTAGGTGTTGGTGGTTTGTAGACTGTGCTCCCTTCATGACTTTTGGTTAAAAAGCAGGCTCCGCTCTTGACTTTATAAAATACCCAGAGTTGTCTGGGTATGTTGTAAAGTCATACTCTGGATACGTTGTAAAGTCAAGAGCAGAGCCTGCTTGAATGTGAGAATGATTATTTTAATTAGTTATCTCTACTGTAAAGATTTTAAAGTATTGGCTATTCTATAGCTTGAAAACTCTTTAATTTCAATGCTTTAAACAGAGTAGAAAAATCAATAAAACGAAAGAGTGACACCTTGCAGTGTAGAATAAATGTTATCATCCCCCAGGAAAATCTGCATTCCTAAGAAAAGAGGGGGACAGTTGTATCTGGACAACATCCAAAGTCAGCGAGAATTCTGGCGAAAGGTTTGTGCCTCTGCAAAATGTGCAGGGTTTCAAGATCCAATATGAGCGTAACAACCCTTGTGTGTTGACCACAGATCTCCCACCGCTCCCTTTTCAGACATGCTGAGGAGGACCCTGCTGTGCGCGCTGCTCGGGCTCCTGCGCGCCCAGCCCTTCCCCTGCCCACAAGCCTGCAAGTGTGTCTTCCGCGACGCCGCGCAGTGCTCGGGGGGCGACGTGGCTAACATCGCCGCGCTGCGCCTGCCCACCAACCTCACGCATATCCTGCTCTTCCACATGGGCCACGGCGCCTTGCAGAATCACAGCTTCCGTGGTATGACGGTCCTGCAGCGCCTCATGCTCACAGACAGCCACATTTCCGCGATTGCCCCCGGCATCTTCAATGACTTGATAAAACTAAAAACCCTCAGGTTGTCGCGCAACAAAATCACTCATCTTCCAGGCGAGCTGCTGGATAAGACGGTGCTCCTAGAACAGTTGTTTTTGGACCACAATGCACTTAGGGGCATTGACCCAAACATGTTTCAGAAACTGGTTAACCTGCAGGAGCTCGTTTTGAACCAGAATCAACTCGTTTTCCTTCCTGCTACTCTCTTCACAAATCTGGGGAACCTGAAATTGTTGGATTTGTCGGGAAACAACTTGACCCACCTGCCCGAGGGATTGCTTGGGGCACAGGCTAAGCTTGAGAAACTTCTGCTGCACTCGAACCAGCTCGTTGCTCTGGATTCGGGGCTGTTCAACAGCCTGGGCGCCCTGCTTGAGCTGCGGCTCGACACAAATCACATCCGATCCATCACACCGGGTGCCTTCGACCGCCTGCGGAACCTGAGCTCCTTGACTCTTTCGAGGAACCAACTCGAGTTTCTGCCCCCTGCACTCTTTCTCCATTCTCACCATTTGACTCTGTTGACCCTGTTCGAGAACCCGCTGAAAGAGCTCCCGGTCGTGCTCTTCGGGGAGATGGCCGGCCTGCAGGAGCTGTGGCTGAACGGCACCCAGCTGCGCACCCTGCCCGCCGCCGCCTTCCGGGGCCTGGCCGGGCTCCGGGTGCTCGCCCTGCACTCCAACCGCCTCGCCTCGCTCCCCGACGGCTTGCTGTGCGGCCTCAGCAGCTTGCGCCAGGTGTCGCTGCGCCACAACAGGCTGCGAGCCCTGCCCGGCGCGCTCTTTTGCAACCTCAGCAGCCTGGAGGAGGTCCAGCTCGACCACAACCAGCTGGAGACCCTGCCTGGCGACGTGTTTAGGGCTCTGCCCCGGCTGATGGAGGTCCTGCTGGGGCACAATCCCTGGCTCTGCGACTGCGGCCTGTGGCCGTTCCTGGCGTGGCTGCGGCAGAACCCGGACCTCGTGGGCAGAGCCGAGCCCCCGCGGTGCCGCGGCCCGGGGCAGCGTGCAGGCCTGCAGCTCTGGGCCTTGCCGGAGGGTGGCTTGGGGTGCGCGGGCACCGGGGCAGACAACTCCTCGGAAGCTCCGGTTCACGCTGCTTTCCTGCTGAACAGCTCAGAACCCTGGGCGTGGGCCCAGCCGGTGGCCACGGGCGAACGTCAAGGCCATAGCCTGTTCCGGGGTCTTTATTTTCTGCTTTTAGCCATTCAGGCCATAATAACTGGGGTCATTGTGTTTGCCATGATTAAAATCGGCCAGCTCTTTCGAAAATTAATCAGAGAGAGAGCTCTTTTTTGAGTCAATGGGAAAACCTTGCAATTAATTAAAACGTGGCCAGAGTATTGCTAGATGTGGCTCTGGGGAGAATCCAAACAGGCCGCTGCCGTCTTCCTCTGCCCGCTTTATGCCTCTTCCTGTACTTCTTTCTCCCTCCGGCTCCTCCTCTCCCTCTCGGTCTCTCCCCCTGAATCCCTCCTCTCGGTCTTCCCCTCCTCAGAGCTAACCTCTACATTTCTAAGTTGCGATTGCTTGCCTGCCTCTGTCTCCCCCTCTGTTGTACACTCCTGGGGGGGGGGGGCGCGTGGATTCTGTTTGGCCCATCCTCGTCCCTCTGCGCCTGGCTTGGTGTCCGGTGGAGGGAGGGGGCTCTTCACTATTTATTGAATAAGTGTACAACTTCAGACCAGGGCCTGCCTCCTGCACATAGGAAGTGTCCGGCAAAACGTTTGTGAAATGAATGAGTGGATAAAATGAATACGTGATCCAATGATGATGGCTTTTTCTGGGGGAAAAGCTGTATTGCTCTCTTTGTTTGTTTGTTTGTTTGTTTGTTTTTGAATGAATATTTTATTAAAAAGCTCTCCAGACAGGGAAACATACTGGAATGGAAATCAGAAATATTACTAGATTAGTAGGAACTAAAGATGCATCATTTCTAATCATGATGAAACAAATGATGGTGACACAAATGTCAATCTCTCAAGTCATGTGGCCATCGTAGCGAGTCCAAAATGAAGGGACTGGCCTCGGCTTTCTCTGCCAGTCAGTTCCAGGGAGCAGACCCAGACACAACTATGTGGCCAAAACATCTAGCCTCATTACATAGCAATTATTATTTGTCTATAAAATGAAATTCTGTATAAGAAAGGTCAACAAGTTGCATTTCTTATCAAAAATCTGTCAATTAACTAATTAATTGTTCATTAAAAAAATATTATCTACATAGTATTTGTTCCAAAAATGTTTAATCCAAATCAACTTAGGAGGAATTAATTAAACCATTCTAGAATATACAACAAAACGGCTAGCCTACACTTTTCCAAAATTCAAAATAATGAAAGTCTATTCTAAACTTATGAGAAAACAAAGGATTGAAAACCAAACTCGATGTACAAACATTGAATGGGTGCTGTAACAAAAATTAAAACCAGCTCTGAGAAATGAGATGTTTTGGAGACAACTGGGGAAATTCAAAAATGGAATGTATGTTATTTGTCAATGTTATATTTCCTGGGTGTGATGATGATATTGTGTTTATGTAGGAAAATGTCCTTGTTCTTAGGCAATGCGTGCTGAAATATTGGGGGTAAGTGTCATGATGTCTACAACTTATTTTTGTTTATTTATTTATATTTATTTTTTAATTTTATCTTTACTTTAATTTGAAAAGTAGAAGTTTTCCGGTTCTTTCCCCTGCCCTATTTTTCTTATTTGATGTATCTCCAACCTATGGGCTACTGGGGAGAGCTCTAGACTCCATTCATTCAGTGACTATTTTCAGGGTAGACCTCCTCTGAGATAGGCTGAGAGATACGGAAGATCCTGAAGAGCTCAGGATCCTGGGACAGAAGCCATTACAGCCAGCGGTCAGGGCTGTGAGCCCAGCAAAGGACAACAGAGAGGGTGGGTGGAACCGATTTGGGGGAGGAATTGGAGCTCACCCACAGGCCAAAGCTTGGGCTTAGGAGGAGCCTGATGACTGGGAGAGTCAGTGTGTGCCCTGGAAGGCTCCTGAAACTGCTCAGCATGCTCAGGTAGCCTCCTGTGAGTTTCCACTCCATTTTGACACTGGGTTGGTTTTCATTTCCTGGAACTAAACGCCACCTCATTTTCCAAGCATTTATGGAGCACCTAACGTGTGACGGGTTCATGAATGTAATGATAAGCTTGGTTCTTATTTAGCTCATATCACATTCTCATTTATTGTTCCAATTGAAAGCAGTAAAACCCTTGTTGCTTTGATTGGATGTCTGTGCTTATGAAAGGCAGTGGTTAAAACATGGGCTGGAGACTTGACAACTGTGCGATCAAATCCCAGCTCCACCACTTACTAACTAACTTCACGGACTTTGGGCAAGACACCTACATACATTCTTTAGGCCTTGGTTTCCTCAACCCTGAAAAGGGACAAAATAGTACCTGCCTCATAGAGTTGTAAGAATTAAAGGCAATAAAGCATGTAATGACTTAGCCCAGTGCTTTTCATACAGTAAACGCTCAATAAATATTAGCTATTATAACTCAAGAATGAGCAATTAGGGCCTCAACCCCCCCCCCCCCCCCCACGACCAGCCGAGTGGTGACCTCCAAGCCACTGTAGGAAGCCCCTCAGTCTCTCCTGAGCTGGGGAGGTGGGGGGCCGAGGGCCTCAACCACACCCCCCTGACAAGTGTAGCCAGCCCACAATGACCACCAAGCTTCAGCAAGAAGGGCCCTGGGTTCCTGAGCCAGAGTGGTGGGGGACAAGGGCTTTTGCCACACCCCCCTGACATCTGCACCCAGCCCAGCAATGACAAAGCCACTGCTGGAAGCCCCCGGGTCTCCCCCGTGGGAATGAGGGGGGTGCCACAGGCCTCAATCCCACCCCTCCTCCTTCGTCCTCTTTCCATCCCATTTCCTTCCCCTTTCCCCTCTTCCCCTCCCTCCCAACTGTTCCACAACAACATTGTAGAATGTAAAAAAATAATATTAATAAAACTACATTTTCTTTAAAAAAAAAAAGAATGAGCAATTATTACTGGCATCATAATTTCTAAAGAAGAGCTTTGAGTTGGTTTTTTTCTCTGTGTATAAAGGTAAGAAGAGCAAACTTTCTCAAACTGGGGACTACATTCGTTTTAGTCCGTCTTCACCTGCAGGTGGTCTCAGCTCTGTGTGGTCAGGCTCTATGCTCACAGTCCAGAGCAATGGATCCTGACAACACCACCACGGGATGTGGAGCAGGGAGAGCTGGATCCCAGCATCTGTAGGTGCACTTCTCCTTCAAGACCAAGTTCAAGTGTCTCCTCCCTGGGAAATCTTCTCTGCTTGCCCAGCAGACTAAAGTGTTTCCTGCTATGTGCTCCCCTGTTGGGCACAGGCACACCTCCATACCCCACATTTGGTCCTGGTCACCCTTCACTCTAGGGTGTCACTTTAGGTTATCTGTTTAATGTGCCTCCTTCACAGTAAGCTTCCTGACTAAACCTTATGTTGTTTATTTCCACTGTTCCAAATTTTGAAACTACCTATAGCATAAAATCCAGACTCCTTTGATGGAATACTTTCATTCTAAGCACTACACTCTCAGGCAGGCTTCCTAGCTCTCTAAGCCTCTGTTTCTTCACTGATAGAGTGAAGATAATAATGGTCCTTACCACTGTTGCAAGGATGAACTGAGATGGGCCAAGTCAAATAGTTAAGTCAGAGGCTGGTGCATATGGGGCTCAACGGAAGTCAGCAATTCTGGTTAGCTCTGTGAGAGAATGCACTGTGTTCCGACACTCCCCAATGCCTTCGCATGTATTCATCCATCCAGCAAGTACTTGTTGAGTACCTACTTTGTACCAAGCACTCTTCTCAGTGGAGGGATAGAGCAGGGATAAAACAGAGTACACGCTTCCATGGGGTTTTGGTGTCTCCTCCAACCCCAGCATCTCTCCCAAACTCCTGGCCATTTTCTGTACACATTCAGAACAGCATGGAGGACAACCAGCTTTATAAAATCTTTATACTGTGTTATATTTGCTTCAGATATTTTTTAACAGATTAAAATACAACAGATAAAATTGAAGGCTCTCTTCATTTCACTCCTTAGCAGTAACCGACTTGATAAATTTGGTGTTTTGCATCCACGCATGTTTTTATACTCTTGTTGCTACAACCCTGAACAAGCTGAAGTCATGCTTTTCAGGTTTTCAAATTTTATATAAATGATGCTATTTTGTATATAGCATTGTTCAACTTTTTTTCTGAGCTAAAATACTTTTAAGATTTATCCATATCATGCATTTGGCTCTAGTTCATTCATTTTCATAGCTATGTAATATTCTGGTGAATAAATATACCATGATTTATCTGTTCTTTTGTTTTTTTTTTTTAAAAGATGACCGGTAAGGGGATCTCAACCCTTGGCTTGGTGTTGTCAGCACCACGCCCAGCCAGTGAGCGAACCGGCCATCCCTATATGGGATCCGAACCCGGGGCCTTGGTGTTATCAGCACCGCACTCTCCCGAGTGAGCCACTGGGCCGGCCCGTATCTGTTCTTTTGTTAATGGGCATTTATTACTAGTGTTTTTCCTTTTTTTAAATATTCCCCATTACTCCACATCCTTTCCTACTCTTGATAATGTCAGATTTTTTAATTTTTATTAGTCTGATAGATATAAAATGTATCACATTGTTGTTTTATCTTATACTTCCCTGATAAATAGTGAAGTTGAGCTTATTTTTAAGTGTTTGTTGAAATTTAGATTTATTCTTTTGAGAATTATCTGTACATATACATTAACCAATTTACAATGGGGAATTTTGTCTTTTTCTTATTGATTTGTAGGAATTCTTTTTATGTTTGTGTTTTGTTTTGTTTTCATTTTCATTTTATTTTTTTCATTGTACATATTTATGGGACACAATACATTGTCTCAGTACGTGCATATATTGTGTACTGAGCTCATCAGAATAGTTAGCATATCTACCACCTAAATATTTGTCATTTCTTTATGGTTACAACATTCAAAATCCCCTTTTCTGGCTATCTTGAAATATACAATATAATATTATTAGTTATTGTCATCCTATGACACCAGAACTTACTCTTCCCATCTAACTGTGACTTTGTAACCTTGTACCAGTGTACCAACCTTTCCCTGCCAACCCCCCCCCCCCCCCCCCCCCCCCC